GGGGTGACCCCCCAAGGGGTGTGGGTTGGGGCTCTTTCGTTACAAAATTTTAAAATTTTACTAGAAAAAGGAGGCCTTCGGGTTTATTTTTCCGGCGGCCTTTTTTTCATTGAAGGCCAAAAGACTGAGATTAAAAAAGGGTTGCCCGCGTTCAGGCCACAAATTTTTGTGTTTAAAAAAATGGAAACCCTTAGAGGCAGGGTTTTTTGTTACAAAATTTGGGGGTTTTCTAAAGTTCGGAGTTGGAGAAAAAATTTTTTTTTTTGAGATTTTAAGAAAGCAATGGGAATTTTCCCCAATTTGGCCATGGATATATTCAGTTAGAGTGAAATTGATTATGGGGAAATCCAGGTTTGTTCATTCACCAGCATTAGAGCATGGATGTTTAAAACAGTAGATGTAGTTAATCATTTTAAAAATTTGGTATAGAATGAGCGTTTTTAACTCTTAATTAATGAAGAATATACATTGATTTTTATATATGTTGCACGATATATATATAGTCAAATATGTTATCGTTTTTCATAAATAACGTAAATTTTCATCAGATTCAATATTTTGGCAATTTTATATTTGATTCAATTAACAGGAAATCTCCCAATCAATTTGAAAAACGATTTATGAGTAATGTCATTTACCAAAAATTGATATATATTGTTGTTTTGTAACAGAATTTGAAATTAATCGTTATTTCATGTATTATTTAATTCTTCAAAAAGTTTAGAAGTATACTTTTAATATATAATTTGTTAATCTTTATTTTTAGCGTCATATTTATTAAATTATTCAATTTTCGTTGATTGGTGTATTGAACGGTTAAAATGAATAATTTATGCATCAAGTGTGACTCCATTTTTTGATTTTTTTCAATCTCTTGCTGGTCGAATTTGAATTATTGAAAAACATAATTAACAATTCTTTTATATGAGGGATATTTTATATTAATATCAAGAAATATATTCAATTTTAAAAGTTTTAAAATTTTCTTGATGAAGTATTGTGATTCTTGTAACTACTTCATCACTTACAGATAGGTGGAATTGATTTATTAATAATAGATTTGATGTGACCCTTTCAGATTTGCCTTGAATATACCTATTTATAGATCATACTATTTTGATTTATTTGCCCTCTATTTCATTGCTTTACCGAAACATTGGGTTAAGTTGGTTTTCACCTTCTCATTTGCTCAAGAACTAGACAGGACTTTTGTACTATCTTAATTAATTATATTATACTATTTATAATAATTTGTAGTGCTGATTTTGACATTTTTACCATTTGTGACCAGACAGTTCTACATTAAGAAGGCCCTAAATTTCTAAATTCAAAAGCATTGGTAAATTTCGAACTAAATAAACTCTTATTTTTAGATTTCTGGAGTGAAGAAGCCCCAAAAATTGTAATATTTAGTAATCACTCAATTACTGGTTTAATACTTTTGTAGAAGTTTCTCTCGTTTTAAATTTCAAGTATTTATCAGTGAATATATATTACATTACTTCTTAATATTAAAAATAAATTGTTTTATTTCAGACTGATTCATATATTGAGTTTACTATATCTGATATTAATGATGGTTAACATTGTACTTGAATTTTTATAGAAATCTCAATGTTTATCAGAAGCCTTTGGATATAGTACTAAATAGAGCAACCTCGGACGTTTCCCAGTTAACAACTAACCAGAATTATTAACATTTTCAACAAATAAATGAATAAATAAATAAATAGGTGAAAAATTCAGATTTGAATAAAGTGATATTATAAAATATAATGCGATATATAAAATGACGTTAAATTCATTATATAATTGATATGAATTTGAAAATCTTTAAGAGGAAACCTAATTAAAGGTATGGTGTGACCTTCTCATTATCAAATTGTGTGAATGGTTTATCTACCCCTACAATTGCAATTGATAGGTTCTCTGTTGTAAGTGTTTCATCTTTTAAGGACTGTCTTAATGCTTCCACACATGTTTTGATAAGTTCTTCTGGATCCTCTAGATCTACAAAATTATCCATAACTTTTTCCAAGTAAGTTTTAGCACCTTGGGAACGAGCACCAATTGCAGAACCATAAACTTCTAAAGTATTACCAGATGGTTGGAATTCTAATAAATGAGCCCCACTATTATCGTAACCAATAAGTAATAAACCAACACCATATGGTCTACCACCATAAGATTGGGTGTTTTGTTGTGCTTTATCAGATAATAAATGTCCAGCTTTTTCAACTGATAATTTTCTATTGAATACTAATTGCGAATAATGGCATTGTTGTCTTAGATAATTACTTAAGACACGAGCGTCAGGAGCTAGACCTGCCAAGGAAAGACCTAAATGTTCATCACATTTAATAATCTTCTTCTGATAAGACGATAATTCATCAGCATTTCTCTTCAAAGCTGCCAATACAGCGTATTTATTAGAACGTAACCCCACTGTAACACTACCTTGCTTAATTGCCTCTAAGGCATATTCTACTTGGAATAATCTACCAGTTGGAGAAAAGGTAACTGTATCACCGTCGTAATTATTTCTAAACATCCTTCAAAAAACTGTTTCTTGCAAAAATAACAATACCCTCCTAGTCAATTGTCCCCTAGGTCTCTTGATCCTCAATCACCTCGACAACAATTAATATAATCCTATCTTTAATTCAAATCTTTAACTCTAAAAGAGTACTACTTCTTTATATCTATCTTTACTTTAGGATAATAATAATCTTTAAATTGTATCTTATTTCGACTAGTAACTTTTCGCCACCCAATATCATATTCGACGAACAGTATAAGGTAATCCGACGATAAGAGAAATTGAAAGATATTTGAGATCCGGGTAAACTTTCTATAACAACTACAGCCATACCATACTTAAACACCTTCTATATATATAGATATACATAAACATGCAGTTTAGCTTTAACCTAATTCAAATGCACCATACCAATTCACCACGAATTTATCTTGCTCATTTGGATTATTGGATGTTATATTATAATTTGTTGGGATCATATCCTTCTTGTCGATGCAATGCTTGTCACGATTTTTAATTCATTGGAATTGTGACAATGCTTTATTAATTAATTAATTAATTAATGAATTATGGAATTGAATTATATTGATGGTTTCCTCATCTGTAAAACAATTTAGTCGAGTCCTTTTGGGTTAAATATAGAAATTCGTTTTCTACAACATGAATATTTGGATGTGAATCGTGTGCACCACCCCTAGTGATTCTTAAAGTACCAGTTACATCCTTTGCACGCCCTGTTTCAAGAGGTTTCAAATTCAATACTGCTAAGGATTTGTATGTACAGGCAGCAGTGAATCTTGAATGATCTAAAATGTTTTTGTCTTGTGTCGATTCGTATGGTGTATTATTGAAATACAGCTCTGTACTCGTTACAACGATTAATAAACCACATTTCTTCATCAATGGTGTGATGAACCATAAACTTAACTCATCGCTAGTTAAACCTTCTATTAAACTTAGTAATATTTCTGGTTGTTCTAACACTATAGTTGAACCTGTGTCTACCAGGAATGACCCTAATATATCAGATATTATTTTGTCCTTTGGTTTACCAATGTTATTAACTACAAAATCTGTGAAAAGATCAACCATCTTATAATCATTTTTACCTATCTTTAACTTTGATAAGTTTTTATCAAAATAATCTGCATTGTGGACAAATGATGCAATTGTTATCAACGGATCATTCCTTGATGACTTTTGAGCATTACTGCTTGGAGTAGAGTCTGTCTTCAAAGAAAATGGCGCTCCCAATACTTTAGTCTCCACTAAGGCATTAACCAACCAAGTTGGCAAAGTAGCAGCAGTATGTGTAACTAAAATCATATCATTGGAATTACCATCGCATAGCTGACTCGATATAACCGATTGATCACTAAATAGTATTAAATCTTGTCTCTGCAATCCACTCATGCTTCTCTCTTCTTATGCCTTTATCTCTCTGGCTGCTTCCTATGTTAAACTAAAAATAAAATTATAAATACCAAAAATTATTTTCCAGTCACTGACCCAATACAATAATTTTAACTATTAACGACTCAATAAATAATCACTAACTCTTTAATTGTCTTATTTCATCTATATCAAATGAAAAGTTCAACTCATCGAATTGATCGATTTATTCAACTTTTCCACCCCATCGTTATGTATGTATGTAGTAACTTAACATCTCTCTGGCTGCGCTATGCAGGATGAAATTTTCAATCTTTTATCCAATACTGAAAAAATTTTCAGATGATGTATAGTGATGATGGTGATGAGGAAGTAAGAAAGTGTATATATATTAATGTATAAGATACGTTATTATAATTAAGATATTATATTTTGTATTTGCCTACTATCATAATTTCTGGGTGTTGTTTAATTTAATTTGTTGGAACTAAGCAAGCGCATAACAGTTTAAATATGTTTACTTTACCAGCTTTAACATCCGATATCACTGTTTCAGTTAACAGTGGTGCTAAATTAACTGAGTCTGTTCGTAGACCAATTGAACCAGTTGGTAAATTCTTTTTACACCATGCTCAAAGAACTTTAAGAAACCATACTTGGTCTGAATTTGAAAAGTTGCAAGCTGAAAAGAATGTTAAGACTGTTGATGAATCCAACGTTGATCCAGATGAATTATTATTTGATGATGAATTAGCTGATGAGACTTTATTGACTCATGACCCAAGAGATTGGAAGTCTGCTGATTTGTACGCTGCTATGGGTTTGTCTAAATTGCGTTTCAAGGCCAGCGATGCTCAAATTATCAAGGCTCACAGAAAACAAGTCTTGAAGCATCACCCAGATAAGATTTCTGCTTCTGGTGGTTTGAACCAAGATGGTTTCTTCAAGATTATTCAAAAGGCTTTTGAAACTTTGACTGATTCCACCAAGAGATCTCAATACGATTCTTGTGATTTCGAAGCTGATGTTTTACCACCAAAGAAGGGTGATTCTTATGATTTCTTTGAATCTTGGGGCCCAGTTTTTGAATCTGAAGCTCGTTTCTCAAAGAAAACTCCAATTCCAACTTTAGGTAACTTGGAAACCGAAAAGAAAGAAGTTGAACAATTCTACGCCTTCTGGAACAGATTCGACTCCTGGAGAACTTTCGAATTCTTGGACGAAGATGTTCCAGATGATTCTTCCAACAGAGATCACAAACGTTACATCGAAAAGAAGAACAAGGCTGCAAGAGACAAGAAGAAGACCGCTGATAACTCTAGATTAGTTAAATTGGTTGAAAGAGCTATGAGTGAAGATCCTCGTATTAAGTTGTTCAAGGAACAAGAAAAGAAGGAAAAAGAACAAAGAAAATGGGAAAGAGAAGCTGGCGCCAGAGCTGAAGCTGAAGCTAAGGCCAAGGCTGAAGTCGAAGCTAAGGCTAAAGCTGAAGCGGATGCTTCTGCTGCTGCCAACGCTAAAGCTGATAAGAAGAAAGCTAAGGAAGCTGCTAAAGCTGCCAAGAAGAAGAACAAGAGAGCTATCCGTTCTTCTGCCAAAGATGCTGACTACTTCGGTGATGCTGATAAAGCTGCTACCATTGATGAACAATTAGGTCTAATTGTCGACACCTTAGATGACGAACAAATGGTTGAAGTTGCTGATAAAATCAAAGCCGACGCCTCTGCTACCAAACAAGTCTTGCAAGACATTGCCAAGACTATGAGTGAAGGTGGTAAGTTACCAGCCAGTCTTTTATCTTATTTTTTATAGATAATATATAACCGTATTCCAAATATCGTTCATATAACATCAAATACATATTTCATTATATATTTGATAATAATCTTTGAAAAATTACGTTTATATCTACTGTCGCTTAAATCTCTCTTGCTTTCTTCGGCTTTTCTTATCGTTGCAGAAACACTCAATCCCGTTTTTCACTTCTCTCTTGTTAAATTTTACATCACATAAGTCATATGCTGAATTCATTTTTAGCCAGTCCCCATTTAACTCCTCGGATCTTTTTCTTTCCCCTTAGATATTACTAGCTAGATTCTGAAAGAACAACCTAGCAGTTCGAGATTAAAAACCTCAACATTGATTTAAAAACGAAAATGCCAAGTCATCAAATTCAAGATTCCAACATTAATTCAAAATGTAATGAGTTGATTAGCATATAAATAAAGGTAATTTTTTATTTTAGTTAAATATTTTTGAAATTTTAAGCATGGTATAGATAATAAATAGTTGTTATACGATTTCGTCTCTTGTAAAGGCTAAGAAGTTGATCGCCCTGTATTTCTAAAATTTGTTTTCTAGAATCAATTTAATAATGATATATACCCGTCTTTCAAGCAACCAGGATAATATTCCTATATCTAGAGCACCCACTAGTCAATTCCCAACCGGAAATAATAAATCGAGCAGCAAATGGAAGATAATCGATGGCAAGATATCGTCCTCTATTAACAGAATAAGTCAGAGTTCTATAGTTCAAAAAGTATTACCTTATATACCGTCGATTGCTAGGTTTTTCATTGTAGCAACATTTTATGAAGATTCCTATAGAATAATAACACAATGGAGTGAACAGGTTTACTTCTTGACTATGGTAAGAGGTTTACCTAAGATATTTATTTATCTATTTCTCATCTTGGGGGTAATTGCAATGTTGGTTAGTTCCACTGTATTAATTTTAAGAAAATATTCTACTTACGCCACACTGACATTATGTTCTTGTATATTCCTCAGGGAGTAGTTTATGTTCCTTCTTTGAATTATCCTTAATTGTAAGAAATATTAGCGTAAGGGGTGGTTTATTCATTTCATGGGGAGATACTATTGTTAATGACAAAGCCACTTTTCCTTCATTGCCAGAAGTTACAAATAAGAATGACAAGAATAAAGGTTATTTGTTATTAATTGGTCGAATTTTAATTGTTTTCATGTTTATTACATTTACATATGGGAAATCCTGGATTACTATTGTTCTTACAGTAATGGGAACTGTTTCGTTTGCAATTGGTTATAAAACTAAAATATCATCGATTATGCTTGGGGTATTGTTGGCATTTTATAATATAACATTAAACAATTATTGGTTTTATGATTACTCTAACAGGGATTTTGTAATGTACAAGTTCTACCAAAACTTGAGTATAATTGGAGGTTTACTTTTAATAACCAATACTGGTGCTGGTAGACTTTCAGTTGATGAGAAAAAAAAGATATATTGATACGGATGATTATAAATATACCTTATATAAAATTATAGAAATTGGAACTTATTTATAATGTAACAAGATAAGACGCTTTATCATTTGATTTATATCAGACTCAAATACAGTTCGGAATTTAATGACGTTTTTGTTTCCTCCAATAATTCCAATGGATAATAATAAAGTTATGAAATTTGGTTGGTATATTTTGAACCAAGTTAGTAGGGTTTACATTAAAATTTTCTAGACCTAATAGGTTCGAAATATTGATTGTTAATATGAAGATCATATTGGTCAGTTGAAATATTACTTTTCTCAACTTCATAATTCTTGAAAATCTAGTTTTACTAAGAGATCTTAAACTATTCTAGATGGCTGCTGACCAACCTAACAACAATTGTAATGACAGTAACTTATTAGATAGCTTGAAAAGCTGTGTATCGCTTTTTGCGAAATGGTTTGATTTTTTATCATGTTAAACACAATAATGTTGGATAAAGGTATAACGTGTCAGATTAAGACCCATCCATGTATATATATTGAAACCTAATTACTTATTTATCAAATAATTGAGGAGTTGTCTTGATTTTTCATTTTAATTTATGTATAAGTAAATATTAAAAAGTCATATTAATATAAAAGTAATTTAATATTTTGCTCATGAAGTTTCATTTTTTGTCATAAAAAGAAAGTGATAAAATTGGCATTAAACATTAATGATCTTGTAAACATTTTAAGGTGACTATAGTACATTAGTTGAGAAATTTACAAAATAAATTCTTGGAATATGGCAAGTTAATAAGTAGTTTTATTATATAAACCCACATTTATTATCTGATTATGTAGAGAATTATGTTGTAGATTTTCTACCGAATCATTCATAGTAATAGATTCTTTATTTATTTCCAAGGACATTCTTAATAAGTTGATATTGATCAGGTGTGTTAAAGTATATAATATACACATGGGAATATAATTAACATGACAAGTGTCAATTAAGATCTTGTCATTTCTTATATACAGTGTTGGAAAAGTTTTAACGTCAGAAATAACACTTTCGTGTAAAGTAACATTTCTTTATCCTATATGAATAATGTCGTAATACGTATATATCACGTGTTACCTCATAATTCTGACAGATTATTATACTTCTAGCCAAAAAAAAGCATTGATATTAGAGAGGTCGTCATTTCCTGTAGAATTGTCGAATTAAATATTCTATAAAATTGAAAAAAAAATGGTGTGATAATAAATTGACTATTAAATGTAGTAGATTAGTTCTATTTTGATAATAGCTTGGCAAGATGAGGATTCTTAAGGATATATTTAATTTGCTGTATTGTTTCAACATAGTTTAATACGAATGGATTGTAAGATCTAGAACACTAGATAATAAGTGTTATTATCATTCATACTTATAAAGAATAATAGTAACTACTATTTGAAACAATTGTATAGTATTGTATATTATTTACTTACTTTGTACATTAGAAGAAGAGATATATAGAACTCTTTATTAATAAATATACTTATTAACAGTACTAATCTACCACCAAATAGACGAATAAAATAAATACCATAACAGCATTTACTCGACGTACAATTATTAGATATCTACAACTAAAGAATTCACAACAAAGAATACATTGCTGATTAGTCATGTGATCAAAGATGGTAAACTAGCTAGAACATCATAAAAGACGAACATTGTAACTGAAGAGATGAGTTTTCTATCTATACATTTTTCTTAATAGCTAAAAAAAAAATATTTCAGCTCATCTCAAAAATTTAATACAGATATGCAAGTTGATTAAAAATTTTGATAGTTAGGATCTGACAAGCTAAGCAATTCCATATAACGATTCAAAATGGCCCAGAAGAGGAAATTTAATGATAATAAAAAGACTAATAAGGATGATACGTCTAAGATAAAGTCCAATCCAAAGTCGAAATCATCTCAACCAGTTTTAAAAAAGCCAAAGAAGTCGATCAAGATATTATCAAAGACGATTAATTATTCTATTTGTATTCCAACCAGTATCTTAGATAATTGCCACAATTTAGAACAAATCACTTCAACTTTGTATCAAATTGCTAAAACGGCTACTATTTACAACGTAGGTGAAATTGTAATTTTACAAATATCGAAGAAAAGTGATAATAATAATAATGATTCCGGAACTTCTAAAAATCAAAAAAAATTATCAGATTCTGTTTTGATTGCATCGTTATTACAATATTTTGTTACACCTCCATATTTAGTTAACACAGTTTTTAAAAAAGATTATCACAAATATTTCAAATACGCATCAAAATTGCCTAGATTATCAGCATTACCATTTATGAGATATTTGGATGAGGACAATGGTCGTTACAGAGAAGGTTTGACTATTAGAATGTCTAAACCATCTAGTAACAACAATTCTAATAAGGGTAAAGAATTCAAACAGACTAAATATGTCAACGTAGGAAAGCCAGAAGCATTGGAATTAAAAACTCAGTTAGTTCCTGTAAACGTCAGAGTTACTGTTGATACTATTGAGAAAAAAGTAGTGTCACCACAGGAGGCATACGGTGATTTTTATGGAGCCCAATTTTCTTACGGTTATCATGTAAGAATAGCTCAATCATTTGGCAATGTTTTCACAGAATGTTCATTTAAAAATGGCTATTCACAAGCAGTTTGGATTAATAGTGGTGATTATTATTATAATGAAAATTTAAAGAAATATAATAAGATAGAAAATAATTTAGGAAGAATCGAAAAAATAATCAGATCTGAACCTGGAAATACAGACAATATGTCAAATTTACTTCTAGTATTTGGTAAATGGGATCATGTAAAGAAAAGTTTCAATGATTCCAAAGACCAATTCGAAGGTTGTGAAGGTGCTCATCAATTTTTTGATGGTCAATTAGAACTCCCGGGAACTGTTCCTCATGGACGCATTCAAATTCAGGACTCATGTATGATATCGTTAACTTTATTATCTACTATGTAATGATTGCATATACATGCATATACATGCATATAAATCCCCTCTCCCCCACCTTAACTGCCAAAAATACCGACAATATCGAGAATGACCACTAATAGAAGTTAAGTTTACCTAGCATGAATATTTTATAATTTTAGTAGTGATATAGAGGAAAATCTTCTAGTATAGTAGAGTCTTATGAGTTAGTACAGATAGATAGACACATGTATAGTAAAAATGCGAACATTAGAAATTTTCAAATCACCTTTGGCTCTCATTTACTTCATACATGAGTAGGATGACCAAGAGCAAGATTAAGAACATTATCCACGAAATTAAATGTCTAGTAATAACGTCAACCTCTCTTAATAAAGAAAAGACTCAAGCAGACAAAAAATATGGTAAATAGAAAGAAAATGCACGACCACTGTAAACTGAACTAAAACTAAATACATACTGTCCTATTTTTATCAACTTCTTTATTATACCTCCTTCCTGATTCGACTGAACTTAAACATGCTGATGGAGATCAGCTGGACAAAAAACCAATAAATAACTTATAGTAACAGCGTAGGCAAGGTATATGTCTACGGAAAAAGTGGACAGTTAAAAATGAATGCATACAAATACAAAGCGTCTCATTAATTACATTCAAGCTTAACCCAAATTCTAAATTTCTCAATTCCTCCAGCATTAACTCCATCCTGAGTAAAATTAAGGAACAACAAACAACTTAAATGGTAAATACAAAATAGACAGTCAGCTAGACTAAAAATTATTACTACGAAAAAAAATGTAGACAACAAATAATTAACTTGGATCAAACCTTCTGATGCTCTCTCTTATTTTATTTCTGGATAGATAGAATTGACTAGGCAAAAGTTTACTCAATTCTATCTCTCTGTGATTTCACCATTAATAGGACAAGGAGAAAAATATCAGCAATAAGCTCTTGCTGCTCTCTATGACGTCTCTTCCTTGGTAGTTTTTCAAAAAGGCTTCTAAAATTAGAAGTACAAAATTGAATATTTTTCTTTGATTTCGGTTCTGTACGGCTTTTCTCAGAAACAAATTCAAAAAAAGAACCGAAAACTGTCTCGAGGATGAGAAAAAGAAACGAAATTTTAAACAGTTTCGAAATTGAGAAGCTGGTAGAAGAGAAACACACATAGACAATACCTATCCATACAAGAAGAGGACTTGGGATACAAGCAAGCAAGTAAGCCAGTACTGGTCAATTATTATTGATGAAAACTGGTGATTTTAAATCAGTAAACATAGGGATTTAATGTTTATATTATTCTTTTTTTATGTAAGTTTTCGTTCCCATTCATTTGATAAACATAACATTTGTTGATAATTTCCTAAAGATATTTCATAATTTTATTTTATTTATATTCTATTTTTTTTTTTTTGATATATAGTATCCATAGAATTTTTGATTTTAAGCTACAATTTTTATATTTAATAAGTGCTGAATAAAAAAAAATTTTCCCTTCATTTTTCTTCCAGTTCTATTTTCTTTTTTAGTTTTTTGATTCGATTTAATCTTGATTTTTAAACATTATTTGTTATTGTTTAGATCAAAATTTTCATTTATAGATCATACAAGAAATCAATCGTTTGATAGAATACTAACATACTCTGTAACGATGCATTTATCTACTTTAGTTGCTGCAGCTACTGCTTTATTATCTGCTACTCAAGTTGCTGCTATTGGTGAATTAGCTTTTAACTTGGGTGTTAAAAACAATGATGGTACTTGTAAGTCTGTTTCTCAATTTGAAAGCGATTTAGAAGTTTTAAAAGGTTACACCGATACTATCAAAGTATACGCTGCTTCTGATTGTAACACTCTACAAAACTTGGGTCCAGCTGCTGAAGCTGAAGGTTTTAAATTATTCGTTGGTGTTTGGCCAAACGATGATGCTCATTTTGCTGCTGAAAAAGCTGCTTTACAAACTTACTTACCAACTTTAAAGGAATCTACAGTTGCTGGTTTCATTGTCGGTTCTGAAGCTTTGTACCGTAAGGATTTGACCCCATCTGAATTAGCTTCTAGAATCAACGAAATCCGTGATTTAGTTAAAAATATTAATGATTCTCAAGGTAATTCTTACTCCAGCAAACAAGTCGGTACTGTCGATTCTTGGAACGTTTTAGTTGATGGTTACAGTACTCCAGCCATCACTGCTAGTGATTTCGTTATGGCTAACGCTTTCTCATACTGGCAAGGTCAAACCATGCAAAACTCTTCTTACTCATTCTTCGATGATATTATGCAAGCTTTGCAAGTTATTCAAACCGCTAAGGGTTCTACTGACATTACTTTCTGGGTTGGTGAAACTGGTTGGCCAACCGACGGTACTAACTTTGAAAGTGCTTACCCATCTTTGACCAATGCTGCTCAATTCTGGCAAGAAGGTATCTGTGCTATGAGAGGTTGGGGTGTTAATGTCATTGTTTTTGAAGCTTTCGATGAAGACTGGAAGCCAGACACTTCTGGTACTTCTGACGTTGAAAAGCACTGGGGTGTTTGGACTTCTGGTGACAAGTTGAAATTTTCATTATCCTGTGATTTCTCAGGTTCTAAATAAATAGGCTGATCTTTAGATCTGATAAAAGATTCCCTTCCATTATACCCTTTCTTAAATGTTTATAATTAAATATATATTTTCCACTTCGTTTTATAAGTAACTGATCTTTATAGGACATAAAGACATTATCATTTTTGCAGTTTTACACTTATAATAAATTAGATTATTTTTAAGAATTTTGTCTTAACAAATTTCAACGAACTGAAATTGAATGACTGACCAACAAAACAACGAATGTTTATAAAAAATACTATTATTAAGTTAATATACATTGATTTTTTTTAAATTAAATACATTTCTAATATATACATCAATATGATTGAATGATTTTTTAAAAAAAATTTACATTATTTTTAAAATTAAAATGCCAAATGAGTAAAATGCGATTTACTACTTCCAAATATTAATACTTTACATTAAATAATCCTGTGCCAAAAAAAAAATAAAGAACAACTAATTTACAATAAAGGACTTTTTATCATTATTTTAATTTGAAATCCTCTTCAGTGATACCTGATCTCATACACATACTTGTGAAAATACCGTCCATCTTATACAAATTATATGGACTATCAAATTCTGCAATTTCACCCTTTTCTAGTACTAAGATTCGATCATAATTCAAAATCGTCTTCAATCTATGAGCAATGCATAAAATTGTACATTCACTGAAAGCTTCAATAATACGATTCTGAATTTTATTATCAGTTTCATAATCAACTGATGATGTCGCCTCATCTAAGATTAATACCTTAGAATTACGAACCAATGCTCTTGCCAAAGCTAATAACTGTCTTTCACCCAACGAAAAATTACTACCCTCTTCTTCAACTTCTTGATCTAAATGGAATTTGTGTAATTCCTGAACTTTACTATTGCCAGTTGACTTTTGTGTTTTAACCTCTTCAAGACTTTCCTTATCTATGGAACCACCTCTTGATAAGGCATCCCATAATTCATCATCTGATCTTTCTCCAAAAGGATCTAAATTCTTTCTAATAGTACCTCTAAATAGAACAGGATCTTGGGGAATAATCGATAAACTTCTTCTTAAGTCAAACAAACCAATATTACTGATATTCACTCCATCAATAATAATTCTGCCTGATTCCAATTCGTTAAGTCTGTATAAAGCACTCATAATCGTAGATTTACCAGCACCAGTACGACCACAAATACCAATCTTTTCACCACCATTAATACTCATGGAAAGATTCTTTAGAACAGCTGGTAAGCCAGGTCTGTAAGCAAACGATACTTCTTCAAAATCAATTTTACCTTCCTGAGGCCAAGATGGATCAGGTGAGCTTTCTGGTTTACGATATGCTGCTTCCGTTGGAAGTTCAGTTGCATATGATACCAATCTTTCAACACTATTCATATCATTTTCAGTCTGCGTTAATGCTCTCAAAACAGTATTCAACAGCCCTGGTAATTGTAATACGTAAGTTAACAAAACACCTACAGATGAAGCTGAAATGTGGAATTGCCTAGTAACACATAACAGAGCAATAATTAAAGCAAAACAAACTGCAATCATATCCAAAAGAACGGCAACCCATCTTTGAACACAAACAACCAAATAACCGGCTTCATTCATTTTATCAATCAAATAATCCGACTTCGCCATAAATCTCTCTTCACTATTATAAAATCTAATAGTATCCATACCACCAAGAACTTCATTTAAATTATTGTAAACAAATGATCTTTGGATAGCTTCCAATCTTTTGATTTCTCTACCGGCGCTCTGGTAATGGTTACTCACCAGAACAAATATTAATAGAATAAATGGAATGGCGATTGCGAACCATGGTAAATAAATGATACACATAACACAGACACCAATTATATTTGCAAATTGGGCCAACATCAAACGAACATTTTCTGTCAGTTCATTATCTAAACTATCGGTATCTTTTGTAAATCTGTTCAAAATACGACCTAGTGGGGTTGTATCCAAGAAAGCCATTGGTGTATGAAGAATTCTACGAACTGCACTCAAGTTTAGTTTCTTAGAAGCGTTTACACCAATAAAACAAACAATTGTGAATTGAGAAGTCATAAAAATATAACCACCAAAGACAAAAAAAGAGTACAAACCCATGTAAAAGCTAGTCGACCTTGTTGGAAATTTATCTTCAGTCCAAAATGAAAGCCATACGGATGAGAATAGAGAGCAGAATGTAGTTGCGGTCACACAGAATACATACAATGGTATTACAAGGAAACCCCATTTGCCTACAGCTGCCTTTAAATAACTTTTATAAATATACCATCCGATACTATTAACTGCTCTTTCTTCTTTGTTAATGATATGACCATCAACCTCACTTTTTGTAGTAACTTTAGTAAGATTTTTTTCTAATTCAGATAATTCTTTTACTTCAATTTCAAATTCTTCATCTTGTTCTTCATCTTCGTCTTGCTTTTGGGTAGTATGTTCCATTAAAGTTATAAATGTTTGATTACGTTTCTTTAGTTCTTCAACAGTACCAATATCAACAGATCCATCATTTCCTAAAACAATAACACGGCTTGCATTTTCAACTAAGGACAATTGATGTGTGGCCAAGACTCGAGTTTTGCCATTTAATAATCCTAATAGACATTCATCCATGATTAGCTTACCTACACGAGAATCCACAGCACTCAAAACATCATCAAACAAGTAAATATCTTTATTCTTATAGACACATCTTGCTAAATTTATACGTGCTTTTTGACCACCGGATAAATTAATACCACGTTCACCAATTTCAGTCATATCACCGGCGGGTAATATATCTAAATCTGCATCTAAACAACACGCTTTAACAACCATATTATATTTGGATTTATCAAAGGGGGAACCAAAGATAATGTTATCACGAACTGTAGCATTTTGAATCCATGGATAACCTCCCATTAATAATTCACCATTGATTTGTACTGAACCCTCGGTTTTTTCCATCAAACCAGACATTGCATTTAAAAGAGAAGTTTTACCGGTACCAATCGGACCAGTAATCATAATAAATTCACCTTTATGGATTTCTAAATTAATGTCTTTAAAACCTGAAAATGCAAATTTTTCGAGATCAACTGGACTGCTTTCTTTTGCTGATGGCTTCTTAGACTCTTCTTTTTTCTTAACTTTATCCTTCTTATTTTTATTTTTATCCTTTTGTTTAGCTTCTTGTTCGGCATCAATTTTTTCATAGTCTGGCCATTCAAATGAAGCATTTTTCATTCTTAAAGCTGTATTTGGATCTATATCTGAAGTTGGAGCCATTTCATCCAATAGTTTCTGATTGATCTCTGGAGCTTCTAATAAATTTTGGAAACGATCTAAACCTAAAATCATATCGATACCAGTACTAATAGCAATAGGGAAGAAGAACATTTGTAAACTTAAGATTTGAAATAATGACAAAGAAGCAAAAATATTGCCCGGTGTTCTTCCTGAACTGTTCACTTTATACATTGCCAAAAACGTCACTAAAGACGCGATATTTGGTAATGACATTGCCAGAGCGATCATAAAATTTCTGATAAATTGCATTTTTCTAACTTTATCTATTTCATTTGTCCTAATATCAGTTATATTTTTTTCATACGCATCTTCCCATGCATAATATTTAACCATTTTCATATTATTTAAGATTTCTCTCATCATTGTCACTCTAGCGTCTGTAAAAATTAGAGATGTAACTCTTAAACCGATAATTTGCTTAAAGACAAATAATGAGAAGAAAAATGAAGCAAAGAAGACACCGATACCAACTAAAGCAATAGGCCCTAAATTGACAATAAGTAATACAATACAAATTGCCAAAGCGGCAGGGAAACCTGCCAAAAACGGCTGAAATGAAATAGCAAATTCTATTCTTGCAAGATCTGTAGTGACAAAAGAAGTAACTTTACCGTTTGGGAATTTATGTTTTGCATAACCATTTGCTCTAAACATTTTACTTAAAGCTGCTTTAGTCAATACCGATTTTGCTTGAGAACCAGTCAATTGAGAAGCACAGAAAAAATGGTTAAAAAAGACACCATTAACAAAGATCATAATACAAGCACCGAAAGCATAACCAATCCCTTTATTTACATGTAAACTTGGTACCAATGCTTTTGCTTCGACGAATTCAATTAATCTTTTAGTCAATAAAGGATTTAGACCTGATGCACAATTTGATAAAATAGCACAAGTGACAGCCCATAGATATTGATATTTAAACGTGAAGAATAAAGCTCTTAAAACAGTAAATCTTGGCAATTCTGTATTTTCTACTACTTCTTGATCTGTAGCATCTGGATGTAATTTTTTATATTCATTACGATACTTTTCAAAATAAAAGTTCATATTTTTTTCAAAGCTTTTGTAAATTGCGTCGATTGACATTTTTTTATCAGTTATAAAAAGATCATTTGGTTGAATTGTTCTTTTATAACCCACTTTAATGATTGGGAATACCCACCAAATGAATATTCTTGAAATGATATTTGCATGATATAAGGGAAAAATCTTCCTTTCATCATCATCTTGTGGAACAGGTGGGATTTTTTTTGAATGGAGGAAAGAGAATAATCTTTTCTGAGGGTAGATTTCAGAATCTGTGACTTTTTCTAAATCATCTTGATTTAAGAAAGTTTTAGGTTTATTTGCCTCTACTTTATATTCACCTGAGGGTAAAAATCTATAGCTAATATCAGTTGAAGCATCGGATTTTGAATTCAAGGTTGATAAATTTACACTTCTTTGAAATGAAAGACCATTTTTATCATAATCTTTTTCATCATAATCAGCATTCCTTAAGTTACCGGCACCATTGTTGTCACCACCTGCAGACGAAGAATCACTACTGGTATGACCTATTAGCATTGTTATTTACTAATAATAACAGTCGAGTCGAAAGAGTATGGGTGCAGGAATGACTCTTGAATACTGTATATATAGAAATATAATTTAATCACTACCCAAATTCAAACAATTATGAAAAGTAATATTGCAGATAATCTTGTTGCCACCACCACTACTTTAACCACCAATAATATATATATGTATATATATATAAATGATTTCAAATTATTATTAGTATACGCCAAATGGAAGGATGAGTAATTGAGAGTACCCAGAAACGAAGTAGCAACGAGCTTAATCTAACAAAGAGAAACCAAACAAAACCAACAATAACTGAAGAGTTTAGTTAGGTAAGGTCTATTTGCCAATTGTAGGAACAAAAATAGGCACTAGATAGCCCTTCTTTCAAAAATTCAATCTATAAAAGATAAAAAGAGGGACTAATCAGCAAACTACTTATATAAACTAAAGTAATGTTGCGTTGCACCTGTGAAATTATTCCAGAAGGTACTACAAACTTACTGGACAATAAGATTTGAAAGTTACACACTCACTCATCGATATATACATCGTTAAAATCCAAGTTCAAGTTAGAATTCAAGCTGATTAATAAATCAAGTTTCGAACAAAGCCTAAATATTTCATATCTGTAGCCATCTGCAGGATAATGCATAGCAGAACATAGCAGAGCATAGCATAATTAGATGCTCCAATCCTGCAAAAGCACCAGGATATGATGAGATGTTGTTCATTTCGAAACGATATTAGGCACTAACTGGGTAATAATGCGAATTTATGTTATGTATGAGGTTGGTTGGTTTGTATGGAAAATAGTGAATGAGATTAGTTTCTTGTTATGGCAAAAGAGAGAGAGAGAATTGACTGCAGAGTAGAGGGGAAAAACTACCCAGAAAGAGAGGAAGAAAGAGAAATAAAATAAATCCAGAATTCATTTCGGTTCGGAAAAACACCGAGAGCAGTGCTTGGCCAGAGAGAAAGAGCTGCAACAAAAACTTAGACGGATGTTGGTGGTGGATGGGGCGGGAGGAAAGACTAAGACTAAGACCAAGATGAAGTCGAACATCAAACTGGAAATAACAGTGTAATGTTGCACGACATGTATTTACATGTTATTTTTTTGTTGGTATAAAATTCTCAGCCTCGATCTCCTTGGTAACCGGATTGGAAGAGGGATGGATATAAAGCGGATTGGTGCCATATGCACAGAAGGTAATGGAGAAGACGGAAGACAAAGGACAACTCATCCGGGGGACTAGAGCCTGCGTGATTTGGCTCGGACAAAGTATGGCCAGCTGTTTTAGTACTAACTGTGCAGTATACGGTCTGTACGCCCTCGCAAACGTTCCATAGTTCTTGTCTTCCCATCTCCAATTACCAAGACATATCATATCATATCGTACACTCTGAGGCAGGCCGGAAGTAACGGAGTATAGACATAACGCTCAACGGTAGGCAGGGAAAAATGGCACAAGAGTAACATTTGTACGGCAGTTCCACTTAAAAAATTAAAGCTAAAAAAGTCTAATATACTGTCGTCCGAAGTTCAAACGTATTCCGCTCTTATTTCCATGGGGTTTAGTAAATAGGGCCCACTTAAAAGGTCAAAAAAAAAAGAAATCGCACCCACATAAAGATAAATATCAAGTTACCCTGAAAGCCGAGCTTAGCTTGTATCAATTTTCTTGTTGTATTTTTGGTTTGTTCCAAATATTATCACAACTCCGAGCCGAACTTGATTTGGTGTGATCATCATCGCTATATGACTTCATGATGATAGAACTAATCAATTGTATGATAGATAATGAATATTTTATAGATTATTTTCTTTTTTTACATCTAATCAGTTATTGATAAGAAAGATAACTAAAATTGGTTGCAATGTTATAAAAATGACAACCACCGGAAAACATCATCTGACATGAATATATAAACTCACCCTTTCTATAACAACCCGAAAGTTTCTAATTTTTTTTTTTTCTCAGTTGATTAACGGTTTGAATATTGATTGATACGACGAAGACAATATTCAATTTCTCTTACCCGAACCTAAATGGGTTACCGATTCGGTATGCCATTTTTTTGTTTGGGTTCGCTTGATTCAGGTTTTCTCGAAGTTCTTGAATATAGAATTCGAAATTACTAAATTTTATATGTTAGCATTATACTGTTCTAATCTCATCGCTCTATGATTACATACAGTATTTTGTCTTTGACTTTAAATTCTTGATCGCTTCTTGTATAATTACTACTGATGTTTGTTTTCTATGTTTTTATACTATAATAAGGACAAAATATCAAAAATAAAAAATACAAAAGATAAGGTTTCACTAATCCGATATTTACAATACGTAAAGTAAAATATGATCGTATAAAAAAAAAGGAAGGAAAAAGCATTTCAGTAATTACATTTTCAAAAAAGATAGGTACTCATATAGACATTGATTTCGTTTTTAGCATAAATCACAGATATATCTCATCTTCATCACTTTATCTTTTAACTATTTTTTTTTCATTCCATCTTTAAATTAAAAAATACCCTATCTTATTAATTTATAATCTATTTCCAAGATACTGTCCTATCGTGGTTCAATTCGCTTCAGATCTCAGAGGAGACTGCTCTCTTTGAGACCAAATTCTATACCACGTATAACTAAAACAAATCTCACTCCAATTGCATTCAATGTATCGCAAAAATGGTTCATCCATAGTTCAAACTATAAAATCAACGATTATTCTTTAAAACATTCGATTTTACCAAATAATTTCATTGGCAATACTACAATTGATCAAAAAATTAACCATCCTCTACAAAAATTTGTTAAAGATCACGATGGCCACACAATAATTAGAAAGATTCTTATTGCAAATAATGGTCTGGCCGCTGTAAAAGAAATAAGATCGATCAGGAAGTGGGCCTATGAGACTTTTGGTGATGAAAGAATAATAAAATTCGTAGTAATGGCTACTCCTGAAGATTTTGATGCAAATGCTGAGTATATTAGGATGGCAGATCAATATGTAGACGTGCCCGGTGGAACAAATAATAACAACTATGCTAATGTTGATTTAATTGTGGACATCGCGGAGAGATGTAAAGTTGATGCAGTCTGGGCAGGTTGGGGACATGCTTCAGAGAATCCGCATCTGCCTGAGTTATTAGCTCAAACTAAAAATAAAATTGTATTTATTGGACCTCCTGCAAATGCAATGAGATCAATTGGTGATAAAATTTCAAGTACTATTGTAGCTCAAAGTGCTGATATTCCTTGTGTCCCATGGTCAGGATCTGGTTTAAAAGAAATTGAAAAAAAGAATTCCACTGGCATTATCTCTGTAAATGATCAAGTATATTCAGAAGCGTGCTGTACTTCACCACACGATGGTCTTGAGAAGGCTAAAAAAATAGGCTTTCCTGTAATGATAAAAGCTTCAGGTGGTGGTGGTGGGAAAGGCCTTCGAAAAGTTGAACATGAAAGGGATTTCATCTCTCTTTATCATCAAGCAGCTGCAGAATTACCGAGATCTCCGATATTCATAATGAAGTTAGCTCCAGACTCAAGACATTTAGAAGTTCAAATTTTAGCAGATCAATATGGTACTAACATTTCACTATTTGGTAGAGATTGTTCTGTGCAGAGAAGACATCAAAAAATTATAGAAGAAGCTCCAGTTACAGTTGCTCCTGAAAGAACTTTTCGAATGATGGAAAAGGATGCAGTAAAATTAGGAAAACTAGTAGGTTACGTTTCAGCAGGTACTGTCGAATTTTTATACTCTCAGGAAGAGGATAAATACTACTTTCTAGAAATAAATCCAAGGCTTCAAGTAGAACATCCAACAACAGAAATGATTTCGGGGGTAAATTTACCAGCTGCCCAATTGCAAATTGCAATGGGAATTCCAATGCACAGGATAAAAGATATCAGATATTTGTATGGCGTAGATCCGGATTCAGCAACTGATATTGATTTTGAGTTTAAAACCAATGAATCAAGAATACGGCAAAAATGGCCAACACCCAAGGGTCATTGTATTTCATGTAGAATAAATGCGGAAGATCCAGATAAAGGTTTTAAGCCCTCTAGCGGTACTTTAGAAGAACTAAATTTCAGATCATCCTCGAACGTATGGGGTTATTTCTCTGTAGGCAGCAAAAGTAGCATTCATTCTTTCTCTGATTCCCAATTTGGTCATTTATTTTCTATGACTGATGATAGAGATAAATCTAGAAAAGAATTGGTCATAGCGTTAAAAAATTTATCAGTTAGAGGGAATTTAAGAACTACTGTTGAATATTTATCAAAGCTGCTTGAAGCGAAAGATTTCAAAGAGCAAAAAATAACTACAGGATGGTTAGATAATTTAATTTCACACAAGACTACGTCAAACAAACCAGACTCACTTCTTTCTGTTATATGCGGAGCTGTTACAAAGGCATTTGTAGCTTCAGAATCTAGCAGATCAGAATATATTAATTCATTGCAAAAGGGACATATTCTTTTCCCATCAAAATTACCAACTATATTCACAGTTGATTTCATTTATGAAGGTATCCAATATAAATTCGATGTAACTATATCTGCCCATGATAGATTTACGCTAGAAATAAATGATTCCATTTGTGAGGTTAGTGTCAGAAAATTATCAGATAATGGCTTACTAATAAATCTTGGAGGCTTATCACATATGGTTTATTGGAGAAAAGAAGCTACATCTACCAGATTATTAATTGACTCTAAGACAGCAGTTTTAGAAGATGAAAATGATCCTACAAAGCTTAGGACACCATCTCCGGGAAAGCTTGTTAAATATCTTGTAGAAGATGGCGAACGCATAAAACCAGGAGAACCATTTGCTGAAATCGAAGTAATGAAGATGCAACTCCCATTAATTTCTGAAGAAGATGGTATTGTTCACCACTTAAAGCAACCAGGTTCAATAGTTTCAGTAGGGGATACAATTGCCAATTTGGAATTGGATAATAAATCTAACGTCAAACATCCTATACTGTTTAGCGGTAAATTACCTGACTTAGGCTCACCTATAGTAGAAGGTACAAAAAAAGCACATAGGTTTAAAAGTTTGGTATCAAAATTGGAAAATATCTTAAATGGATACGAATCAAGAACTGAAATCAAGTCCCTCGTAAAAGATTTAGTTCATTTGTTAAGGGATCCACGTCTTCCTTTCTCTGAATGGAAACTACATATGTCTGGGTTGCACTCTAAAATACCTTATGAATTAGATGAAAAAATTAATAACCTAGTGCAAGAAGCTTCTAGCACAACTGAAATATTTCCTTCTGAGAAAATTCAAGATTTATTAGTGACGGCTGCTGAAAAACATCATTCAGATTTTTTATTATTGAAAAACATCAGTCCCCTATTAGACATCACTGGTCGTTATTTAAATGGACTACATAAACACGAGCATTCTGTATTCGTCAGCTTGTTAAAACAGTATTATGCTGTTGAGAAGCTATTTCAGGTAGATACTGTCACAGATGAGAGTGTTATTTTAGAGCTAAGGGAACATTATCATGATGATTTAAACAAAATAGTCGATATTGTCCTATCACATTCTAATGTTAAGGCAAAAAATAAACTTGTAATGGAAATTCTAAATCATTATCAACCTGTCTATAAAATTTCTCTAGAGGTGACCTCTTTATTGTCACCTTCTTTGAAACTGTTATCCGACTTGAAAGCTAAGTCTAACTCTGAAATTTCATTGAGAGCAAGACAAATGTTAATTCAAGGTACTTTACCATCAATAAGAGAGAGAAATGGAAATGTAGAGAGATCCCTATCTGAATCATCAAAGGATGTTGTTATACAAGGTAATGAAATCAATTTATTAGACAGTAGTACGCAAAATTTAGAAAACCTAATAAATACAAATACTGTTATATTTGATATTTTATTTCCTTTTCTCTCGAATCCCAATATAAAATTAGCATCAACGGCAGCATACGTTTATATTCGTCGTTCTTATAGTGGTTTTGGTGTGAGTGAAATTAAAATGCAAAGATTCAATCATAACATAATATGTCACTGGAAATATCAGAATGCTTCTACTATCTTTGATTCATCTCATTCAACCTCATTTGATAAAAAAAATAAGATTCTACCAATATCCGATACGTTTAATCTTTCTATTGATAAGGATCAGTCATTGAAATCTAGTTACCTCATAACTGTTGGGTGCTTATCTGAACTACGTACTATTTTAGTAGAACTGTCCAATGGTCATATTTTTACAAATATTCATACTGGCAGTATAAGCAAGAATAAGAATTTTACAGTTTACATTAATTCTTTTAAAGATTGTAATGATCCTGATGAAATTTTTATCTATTTGAAAGAGACTATTGAAGAGAATAAAGATCTTCTCTTGGAGGTTGGAACAAATCAGATCACTTTTATGTATATATCTAAATTAAACCAATACCCAAAATACTTTACATTTAGAGGAGGAACATTTGAAGAAATTCCAAAACTTCGTGACATTGACCCTGCTTTGTATGATCAGTTAGAATTAGATAGACTGTCAAATTTTGAAACTAAACACATAAGTACGGAAAACAAGAATATGAGAGTATATGGTGCTAGAAGTAGGTTATCAAATTTTGATAACAGGTTTTTTACGAGATGTATTATTCGTACCCCAAGATTCTCAGATGAGATATCGATACATGATTATTTGAATAGCAAAACTGAACATCTAATGGTAGACGTCTTTAATAATTTAAATGCTTGCGACACGATTGATTCAGACTTAAATCATATTTTCATTTTTTATAATGCAATTTTTGATATATCGCCGTATACTCTCCAAAAAATATTCAAAAACATATTTAATAGGTTAGAGCAAAAATTAAATGATGTTAGGGTTACCTCTATTGAAATCAGAATTGTTGCAAGGGACCCTGTGTCAAAGAAGCCAGTTTTTATTAGATTTGTCAGAGATAATATTAGTCGTTACAATGTTCAGACATATCTATATAAAGAAATGGCTACTTCGAGTACAACAATTAATTTAATTTCAATTGGGAAAGAAGGTCCGCTCCAGGGTATATCCATTGCTTCTCCATATAATGTAGAAAGATGGCTTCAACCTAAACGTCATAAGGCATATTTAATGGGAACAACCTACGTATATGATTTCCCCAATTTGTTTCGTCAAGCTGTTCTAGATCAATGGAGCAATAATTTATTATGGGCATGCCCGCCATTTAATCATTTTACCGTTAGGGAACTAATCCAGAATGATAACGGAGATTTAATAGAACAGACTCCGCGACCAGGAACTAACGATATTGGAACAGTTGCGTTTAAAATTCACATGAAAACACCTGAATATCCAAACGGTCGTGAAATTGTAGTTTTAGCCAATGATATTTCATTTAAGTTTGGCTCCTTTAGTGTCCGTGAAGATAAATTCTTTAATAAAGTAACTGAATACTGTCGTAATCTTGGTATCCCTAGAGTATATATTTCAGCAAATTCCGGTGCAAGAATTGGAATAGCAGAAGACTTAATTCCCCTATTTGATGTTGAGTGGAAAGATACCAATGACTTCACAAAAGGTTACAGTTACCTATACATAAGTGACGAAAATATGGATTATTTGAAGAAAACTGGCAAAGAAGATTCCATTGTAACCGAACGTGTAATTGAATGTGGTAAAACTAAACATATGATAAAAGCAATTATTGGATCTGATGACGGTATAGGTGTAGAATCACTTCAAGGTTCGGCGTTGATTGCTGGTTCTACAGCAAGAGCCTATAATGATATTTTTACTATTACTATTGTCACTGCAAGATCTGTCGGTATAGGTGCATATCTTGTGCGTCTAGGCCAAAGAGCTATTCAAGTGGAAGGACGACCAATTATTTTAACAGGCGCCTCTGCCATTAATAAATTGTTAGGTTATCCTGTTTACAGTTCTAATTTGCAGTTAGGTGGAACTCAGATTATGTATAAAAATGGTATTTCTCATTTAACAGCGCAAAATGACTATGAGGCAGTATATTCTGTAATAAGATGGTTGTCATATGTTCCAGAAAAACGAGATGCTCCTGTTCCAGTTATTGATTCAAAGGATCCCTGGAACCGTGATGTTGAATATGTTCCTGAATCAAAGGAAGCGTATGATGTCAGGTGGATGATTGAAGGTCGTTATATAGGAGATCATTTTGAATGTGGCTTATTTGATAAGGGTTCATTTTTTGAAACTTTATCAGGATGGGCTGAGGGCGTGGTTGTAGGAAGAGCTCGTTTGGGTGGTATTGCTGTAGGTGTGATTGCAGTAGATACCAATACTTTCAAAAGCACGATTCCGGCAGACCCAGCAAATCCAGAGTCGACCGAAGTAGTGATATATGAGGCTGGCCAAGTTTGGTATCCAAATTCTGCCTACAAAACTGCCCAAGCTATAAACGATTTTAATAAGGGCGAACAATTGCCACTAATTATATTTGCGAACTGGAGAGGTTTCTCAGGTGGGCAAAGGGATATGTTTGATGAGGTGTTAAAATATGGTTCATATATTGTGGATTCCTTAGTGAAGTATAATCAACCAATTATTATATATGTACCACCAACTGGTGAGTTGAGAGGCGGTTCTTGGGTTGTTGTTGATCCATCAATTAACCCTGATCAGATGGAAATGTTTGCTGATTCTAGTGCAAGAGCAAGAATGTAAAAGCCAAAAGCAATGGTTGGGATTAAATACCGTAAGGAAAAAATATTGTCAACTATGCGAAGGCTTGATAAGACTTATAAATGTTTACATGATAAATTACAACAGCTTTCATGTAAAGATAGTGAATTCGGAAATGTTTCTGAGAAATTAAAAGATCGTGAGAAGCAATTGCTTCCTATATACACTCAAATTGCTGTGCAGTTCGCAGATCTACACGATAGAACAACACGTATGCTGGCAAAAGGTGTCATCAAAAAGGAAGTCAAATGGGTTAATTCACGTAGGTTTTTCTATTGGAGGTTAAAGAGACGTTTGCTTGAAGAATACTTGATGAGAACTGCTTTAAAAAATGTAGATAAAGTTCCCAGATCTGAATTAATGTCAATATTGCAAAGTTGGTATCCTCCAAATATATCTAGTAATGATGATAGAAAAGTCACGGAATGGCTTGAGTTAAATTACAACAAATTAGTGAAGAAGTTATGTTCATTGGCATTTGATTCTTTCATGCAGAAGGTTTCTGATTCGATTATTAAAAACGAAGAGGAAGGTATGGATAAGATTACTAAAATCTTAAAAAATTTACCTAAAGCTGAGAGGGACAAGATTGTCAAGAGTTTAAATGACGAATAACTTAATGTAAAATTCCAAAATGAATATTTAAATGAGTGCATTATTACATGATATTTGGAGACTTTTATAAAATTATATAAATATATATCAAAAATTAATATTCATATGTTATAGACGTAATGAACAGTTTTTCTTAACTTGATACTTCTGCTTTAAATTTCTTAGCTTTAGGCTCAGCGGAAGTATTCTTCAAAAAGTGTTTTTTCTTTCCATTATTCATCTGTGACTTCATATCATTTTCTCTTTTTTTAGTTAATTTTTCTTCTTCTCTACGTTTAGCCAAATATTCAGTTGGATCGTTTATGACAGTACCATCTGGACCAATTTGATCAATTACGTGATTAATCTCCTCCATATTTTTACATTTAGAGATATATTGATAAAACTCAGATTTCCCTGGAATAATTCTATTCAACATATACTTTGTGTTCCCAATAATATTTTCGAATTCATTAGCTATCTTGATGTATTGTTTACAAACATCATACCACATTAATGGATTTTGTGAGAAAACTGTTGGATTAGTTTCGGCACACTCTGCAATCATACCACCAATATCTTTGGATAACCCTAGTTCTTCTCTTAATTCCTTAAAATGAACTTTGTTTTTTATAGCACCATTCATTATTAGAGATACATTATTCTTCTCACAAATTTCTTTAATGCTTGGAATATAATCTCTTATTGGTGCTTCCCTATTTCTCATTGGTGTTGTTCTGCAATGGACAGTTAAATTTGATATCCCAGTAGTGCATAATCTTTCGACCAATGCAACTGTAGTTTCTTTATCGTCTAGGATTCTTATTTTCACACTAATTGGCTTATTATATGGTTTGCCCACTTTTGAGACAAGGTTTTCTAAAATAGAGCATAAAATATCCGGAGTTTTCAATAATGCTGCTCCCATACCTGAATGAATAGAAAAATGTTTAGGGCAGCCTGCATTAATGTCAATTCCATCTACATCATTTACTATCTTTAAAGCAGCCTCAACTGCTAAGGTAGGTGATGAGGTACCCATTTGAAAAATTAATTTCCCTTGTTCATTCTTAGGGAAAGTTCTAAATACCAAAGTAGATGGCTTATTATCTGTCTTGGATGGAATAATAAAATCTACAGTATCTAGATTCTTATTTTCTTCTCTAGTACATTGAATTAGCTTCTTATCAATAATTTCTGGAGTCCATAATAAATCCGCACCATGTTGTAATGCTAAAAGTCTTGTTGGCAACTCACCAGCTCTAACCATAGGGGCCAAGACTAACTTACCAGCATATAGAACCATTTTAACCTTATTTATTGCTTATATGATTATCCTATCCCATTAGATCAAACAAATATTCATAACCATCACCTATCAGTTCTTAAGTACTTTTTCACTTTTTCTTTTTTTATGACTGCTATGAGCTTACAATATTTCAGCATTTAAAAGAGACTAGAGAAGAGCTTACCATTGTTAAGGTTGACCATAATGACAGTATTGATATAAATAATTTACAGAACTCAACAATGAGTTAAGATTTATTGATTAAATAAAGTGCAATATTATTTTAGATAGATGTAATATATATAACATTTTCATGAAAAATGAGAATTATATTAATAATTCTGGATTGGAAAAACTAATTACATCCAAAATATCTGGTATCGATGAATTTAGTAATAGACCATTCGCAACCTTCATTTTGAATTTCTTTTGTAGTTACAATTTTACCTGCGAAGATGTTAATCTTGTCATTGAATGCATTTAAGATACGTTTAATACCTAGTTCAGTAGCTATGAATACTACTAATTTGATATTTTCTAATGGGATATCGTGGTCAAGTAAAACTTGAATTGCCATGATTGATGCAGCACCAGTGATGATATGAGCCTCCATTAGGAAAACGGTTTTATATTCTTTAATTTCAGGAGGTAAAAACTCGCAATGTAATTGGGGTTCTCCAGTTTGAGAATCTGATTGAATTAATAATTTACCGATGACAATACTTGGGATAGTATTTTTGAGTGATCTCATGAAGCAATCACCTGAACGAATGATGTTTACAGCCATGACTGAATTAAAGTCACATTTGATTGCATCGTTTATTGTATTACCTTCTGGGGTTTCAATGGTAACCAATTCTTTGATTGGGATATCATTTAATGCATTTGAAACTAATATAGAACTAATACGATCAAAATAGAAAACAAAATCATCTCTTTTTAAGTTTTTGTCTAATAGCATAGTCATGATGGATCTGACTTGGTTAGTTTGTTCCAGGACATGGACTGTATTGAGTGTAGATATGTCTCTCAAATCTGAATTACCCAACTTGATTAGTTCGGATAAATGTTCTTGTGATTTTAACCGTAGTTTTATTCTGATATGACTAATTAAAAGTTGTACAGCAACGCTATTGTCAGCCAAAGATGGAACAATTGCGTCTGCATTCCCCATTGTAGGTCTGATATACTTGACTGCATCAGGTTTAACAAATCTTTCCCACTGTTGAATACAACCGGCAAGGTCTCTTCCTCTAGAGACGATATCTCTGGATAATCTTCTTGCTAAACAAACGTCTAAGTCTGCATCAACAAATATTTTTAGATCCATTAAATCCATTAATCTTTTATCGTATAATGCATATAGACCTTCAATGATGATAACACTAGCACCATAAATATTTATGCTTTTATCAGGATCCCTATTATGATTAATAAAACTATAAACTGGAATAGTAGTCTTTTTACCTTCCTTTAAAGATAAGATACACTCATAAGCTAAATCGGTATCGATGGCAGCGGGTTCATCAAAATCATACTCATTAGCAAAAGCCCTCTTACGATCTTCTTGATTAAGAGGCTTGTAAAAATTATCCATCGATATCAAAACTGTCCATGGAACATCGATAGATGAAACAATCTTGGCAGCAACACTAGTCTTACCTGAACCAGAAGTACCACCAATACCAATAATATAAGGAGTGGTCCAAGGAGGCATATATTTAGTCTTCCCAGACTCCATTGAGATTACTGAACTTCTTCTTCTTTCTTTGGTAATCATTGAACCAGAACCACCATCCATCATCGGTGATAAAAAGTTCGATTCATCAACGACGTTAGACATCTCGAATCTTATCCAATTTTCTTCAGTTTTTCTCTAATACCAACCTAAATGAACCGGCTCAAACTAAAAACCAAATCTACCTAACTTAATGGAATTATATTCTCCAATCAACCAAACCTTTTAACCAATTCCATCTTTATATTCTTGGTTCTAGATCAGAAATTTTCGAATTTCCCAAAAATGCGATGCGATGAGCTTGCAATTTTTCAAAATTTTCCAACTGCATCTATCAAGGCGTAAAATAATGACGTCAATGTCATCGATTAGTTGTAACACTTCGAATCAAGTTGGATTTCAAATTGATATAAAACAAGAGGTGTTAACTAAGTGGATGAGGAAGGTATTAACATGGTATATGGTTGATCAGAATACCATAGTATCAAGTATTAGGTTCTTTTCGTTCCAGGTTTTTTTTGTTACTATAAAGACAGATTGCTGAAAGTTCTGGAAATATTTGGTAAAGAAATATGGATACACTGAGAGGTAAAGGTAAAAGAAGAGTTAGGGAAACCTATGAGAAAGTAGTTGATGAAACACCAGTGGTTGAACTTGAGGATAAAGTTGATGAAGTTGTTGGAGTTGAAAAGTCATCTGTTGAAAAACCATCTGTTGAAGGAGACGCTAAGAGTGGGATAGAGGAAGACTTAAATGATATTAGGTTATTGGCAAGACAACGGTATTTAAATGCCAGAGAGGAACAAAAATATGAAAGTTTGAAAAGAGAATTGGTATTGTTGGAAGAAGACGTTGAGAAATATGGATGGGAGAATTTATCCAAAAGAGAGCAAGATGAGATTAATTTGAAAAAATCAATCATAAGTATTATAGAGGAGAAAAAAAATATAAATAATAATAAATCATTTACTATACTAGATAATCTCCAATCCAATGATGAAGGTGGATCTTCAAGTTTAGAATATAAGAAAAGGTTGCTAAATAATAGACAGGGAGTATATGCTAATGCCAAACTAAAGAAAAATTTGGAATGGGAAGAACAACAATTACAAATAGCATTAAAGAAAAATGATATTGATGAAATTCATGTTGAAAATTCTAAAGATTATGAATTTGTATTTGATACAGAGGCTATGATTGACTTTACTAATGACGGAGATGACCTTTTAAAAGATGAGGAATCGGAATATGAAAATGAACTTCTTGAAAATATAAATAAAGAACAAGAAAGGTTGTTAGATATTCAACAAGGTAGAAAATCACTACCTGTATATCAGTACAGATCCCAATTATTGCAGGCAATAAAGGATCATCAAGTGTTGATTGTCGTGGGTGAAACAGGTTCTGGTAAAACTACTCAGTTACCACAATATTTGGTAGAAGATGGCTATACCAAAAATGGTACTTTACAAATTGCTGTCACCCAACCAAGAAGAGTTGCTGCTACATCAGTAGCAGCAAGAGTCGCAGATGAAATGGGAGTAGTTTTGGGAAAGGAAGTTGGTTATTCCATTCGTTTTGAAGACAAAACAACCCCAAATACAACAATCTTGAAATATATGACAGATGGTATGCTTCTGAGAGAATTTTTGTCAGATCCAGAACTGAAAAATTATTCCTGTATTATGATTGACGAAGCTCATGAACGTACTTTGGCAACTGATATATTATTAGGGTTATTAAAGGATATTTTATTACATAGAAAGGATCTAAAATTAATTATTTCATCTGCTACAATGAATGCTTCAAAGTTTTCTAAATTTTTTTATGATTGTCCCATCTTCAATGTTCCAGGTAGAAGATTCCCAGTAGATATTCATTATACAGTACAGCCAGAGGCAAACTACCTCCATGCAGCGATTACAACTATATTTCAAATACATACCACTCAACCACTGCCTGGTGATATATTGGTATTCCTAACTGGTCAAGAGGAAATCGAATCTACAAAGGAAAGAATAGAGGAAATAGCACATAAATTAGGTTCAAGAGTTCCAGAAATGCTAGTTACTCCTATTTACGCTAATTTACCACAAGAGCAACAACAAAAGATATTTGAAAAGACACCAGAAGGTTGTCGTAAAATTGTACTTGCGACAAATATTGCAGAAACTTCTCTTACTATTAATGGTATCAAATATGTAGTTGACCCAGGTTTTGTTAAAGAGAATTCATATGTTCCAACAACGGGGATGACACAGCTATTGACAGTCGCTTGTTCAAAGGCATCTGTTGATCAGAGGGCAGGTAGAGCAGGACGTGTTGGCCCTGGTAAATGTTTTAGATTATTTACTAAATGGTCATATTATCATGAATTGGAAGCAACACCAAAGCCTGAAATTATTAGAACCAATATTTCTAGTATTGTATTACTATTGCTATCATTAGGAATCACTGATTTAATTAACTTCCCATTATTAGATAAACCAAGTATCCCATCACTTTCAAAATCATTGGAAATTCTATATGTTTTGGGAGCCTTGAATAGTAAAGGCTCGATAACTAGGTTAGGTAGACTAATGTGTCAATTTCCTTGTGAACCAGAATTTGCCAAAGTAATATATACTGCTGCATACAATGAGACAGCAAATGGTGTTTTGGAACAATGCATTACAATTGTATCAATGTTACATGAAACGACGTCCTTGTTTGTGGGGAACTCTAGGGATTCTTTGAAGAGTATTGTAGGTGAGACGACTAGTGATCATTTACTATATCTGAAAATATATGATGAATGGAAAAATTCAAACTATTCAAAAATGTGGTGCAAAGATCATAAAGTCCAATTTAAAACTCTATCGAGAGTTAGAGATATCAGGAATCAATTATGGAAGTTCTGTGATAAAATGGGTCTAGTTTCCATGAATGAAAAGGCACTAAAAGAATTAGTGGATCCTACCCAGAGTATGGAAATAAAAATAATCAAATGTTTTATCAGTGGGTTCCCTATGAACATTGCAAAGTTAGGTACATCTGGGTATAAGACAGTCTCAACAAAGAATAGCAGTGGGTTAGAGGTCACAATTCATCCTTCAAGTGTCGTGTTTCAACAGCAAAAGGAAAATGCAAAGAAGCCATCCAAATATATTTTGTACCAGCAGTTGATGTTAACCACTAAGGAATTTGCAAGAGTTTGTATGCCTATAATCAAAGAATCATGGCTATCAGAAATGGTGCCGCAAATATTCAAACCAAATAATGAATTTAATTAATTTATAGACTATTATTCCAAAAGGAAATCATGTAACAATTTTTATTTATATAGAGGGATAGCACATTTAAAAGCATATCACGGCATTGATTTATCTCTAGTAACTGTTTATATAAAATATGAATCTAGTTGGAGCATATAAGAGTTAATGTGTCAATAGCTTGCTTCAGTTCATGTCGGAAATGTAGTAGAAAGACCCAAAAATACGATCAATTGATAAAAGTTCAAGTTATTTAAGCAATCAGATATGATGGTATTTATAGTATCTGAATTGTAATGCTTGTATGACACTATCATGGTTAGTTAATAAATACATGTTACTGTTAAGTCACGTGAAACCTGTGAAATTTCGATATTCTAAAGGGTCCGCAACAGCCAATGTAAATTTACCAAATTAAAAGGTCTTACTAATATATAAAAAATGGAAACCTTTCAATAGACTTGATTAATAGTGGAGGAAAGCAATTTGAATTCCATAGGAACTATTGAAGTTAGTTATACTGCCAATTGCTCCAATTTTGTTTACTGGTAGAACATTCTTTCCGAATAGTATAAGGTTTTTCAAGATGACATCTTCAAATAAGGACTTTTCCATCAAGATTGAAGCAGCTCATAATGATCCATCCTTGACCTTTAACCATACTTGTTTAAGAGTTAAGGATCCTGTTAGAAGTGTCGAATTCTATGAGAAGAATTTTGGAATGAAATTGCACGCCAAAAAGGATTTCCCTGATATGAAATTCAGTTTGTACTTCTTGTCTTTCCCAAAGGACAATATGAAGACAAATTGTCACAATGAACCAGATGTCTTCTCTTCTGAAGGTATTTTGGAATTAACTCACAATTGGGGTAGTGAAAGTGATCCAGAATTTAAAATTAACAATGGTAATGTTGAGCCACATCGTGGTTTTGGTCATATTTGTTTTGCAGTTGCAGACGTTGAAAAGGAATGTAATGACTTAGAAGCTAAAGGTGTTGCATTTCAAAAGAAATTATCTGATGGTAGACAAAAAGATATTGCCTTTGCACTAGATCCAGATGGATATTGGATTGAATTGATTGGTTATTTAAACAACAAGCATGGTAATACCCTACCAACAAAGGATGTTGGTATGAGATTTAACCACACTATGATTCGTATTAAAGATCCATCAAAAACTTTAGACTTTTACCAGAATGTTTTGGGTATGAAAATTCACAAGATTAGTGAACATGCGAATGCAAAATTTACAAATTACTTTTTAGGTTATGATATACCAGAAGGTGAAAGTTGGTTATCCATGGAAGGTATTTTGGAATTATGTCACAATTGGGGTACTGAAAATGATCCAGATTTTTCCTATCACAATGGTAATCAAGCTCCACAAGGTTATGGCCATATTTGTGTTAGTTGTACAGATCCATCCAAACTATGTTCAGAAATAGAAGAAAAATACGGTGATAAAATTACTTGGGCACCAAAGTTCAACCAAGGTAAGATGAAGAACTTGGCATTTTTGAAAGATCCGGATGGATATTCAATTGAAGTTGTTCCACACGGTCTGTGTGTTTAATTTTAACATATTACAGACCTTTTAAATGTTTTCATGAGAAAATTAACTTATGTAAGGTTTTGTTTGTAGTATGTTTGTCACTATATGATATTATGATTAATTTGAAAGGATTTGGACATGCTATACATACTTCGACTTTGATAGTTATACGTAGATAATTAGTAAAGTAACTATAACAAATAAAACATTCGTTAACAGTAATATTTAGAGCTGGGCTTTTCAGTGATTTGATTTTTGGATATTATATGGATGTCCCTTGCCTGGAATGGAAACAATCGATTGCCTGTTAGCTGGTAAATAACATGACTGAAATATTATTTTGCTAAAGACAGGGTTTTTGATAATAGCAATGCAATCTCTTTAATTGAAGCCTTCAGTCCCCTAATTCAGGCGTGTTGAAAGAAAGCGATGAACCTCACAAAGTATTAACACTGCTTTAACAATAGGGTTGTTCTTTTTAAAAGATAAAAGCATTAATACCAATAAACATGAGTAGTGGTTGGGGAAGGGGGGTGTCTATAATCAAGAAATAGGTTTCTGAATTTATTTTTATTTACAATGGAATACCTTTTGATGAGGCATTTTGAAAACTTTTAAAAGACTGACACTTTTAAACAAATTTTACCAATTATTGAATTGATTGATTGTAAGAATATAATTATGGATATTAGTCCACTTTATATTCGATTATTCATTTGGATTTACTCTTGATTAAGAAGCATTTATTGTTGTCATAGTCATTTGTCTAACTGGGATATAATAAATTAGAAAATTAAAATTATGGAGAAAAACTTTCCTCTGGTTAATGGTACAACGTTTTGTACCTTTTATTCATATTCAAGAAAGTCTTATGTCAAAACAATCGAATTTTACAATAAATTTTTAAAGTTAAAGATATCTTCAGACTCTATCTATTACTGTACATTGTCAAATCCAGATGTCACATTGAAGGTGATTCTAGAAGAGAATGGACAAAAACAACAACAGATAGATAAACAAATAGAAAAATTAGAATCAAATGTCAGTGGTCAAGATTGGAGAACAATGGTTGCTAGATCACTAGTATTTTCCACTGACGACATTCATGAGAATGAAAAGGCTTTAGTATCTCTAAAGGCAAAATATAGACATTATCCAACCGAATTAGTGCCATTGATCATTTATACTATTGATCCATTAGGAAATCTAGTTGCTGTCACGTCAACAAAGAATTCAGTTAGTGCAATCAGGATATTGCCACCAGATTCTATCCATATAGTTAAGCAAGCAAAAATCACCTCAATTAATAACTTAAGCTCGAGGATGATTACAAGTGATACCTATCCATCGCTGCCAAAGTATGTGTTTAATCACAAGAAATCGATTGCAGTAATGACATCAGGAGGCGACGCACCAGGAATGAATGCAAACGTCAGATCCATTGTAAGGTCAGCAATATTTAAGCACTGTCGAGCATTTGTTATTATGGAAGGTTTTGCAGGTCTAGTCAAAGGTGGCCCTGATTATATAAAAGAATTCTTCTGGGAAGATGTTCGTGGATGGCTTGCTGAAGGTGGTACCAATATAGGTACTGCACGTTGTAAGGAATTTCAAGAAAGAGCAGGCAGACTTCTTGGTGCTTTACATTTGATTGAGTTTGGGATCGATGCATTGATAGTGTGTGGAGGTGATGGATCGTTGACAGGCGCTGATATATTTCGCTCAGAATGGCCATCCCTGGTACAAGAGCTGTATCAAAACGAGAAAATAACAAAGGCCCAATTAGATAAGTATCAATACTTAAATGTATGTGGTACGGTAGGTTCGATTGATAACGATATGTCTTCTACAGATGCAACAATTGGTGCATATTCTTCTTTGGACAGAATATGCACAGCCGTTGATTATGTTGAAGCAACTGCACTGTCACACTCAAGAGCATTTGTCATTGAAGTGATGGGAAGAAATTGTGGGTGGTTGGCATTATTAGCTGGTATTTGTACAACTGCAGACTATATATTTATCCCAGAAAACCCTGAACCTCATAAAGAATGGAAAGATAAAATGTGTGATATAATCAAAAAGCATAGGTCAAAAGGTAAAAGGACGACAATAATTATTGTTGCAGAGGGAGCTATCGATACAGAATTGAATTCTATCAAAGCTTCTGAGATCCATAGAGCTCTCTGTGATAAACTGGATCTGGATACTAGAATTACTACCTTGGGTCACCTTCAAAGAGGTGGTAAAGCAGTTGCTTACGATCGTATATTGGCAACTCTTCAAGGTGTAGAAGCTGTTAATGCGGTGCTTGAATCTACACCTGATACCCCATCGCCACTAATTGCTATCAGTGAAAATAAAATTATCAGAAGATCTTTAGTTGATTCAGTTGTATTGACAAAAAGTGTCGCAGAAGCAATAAAAAATAAAGACTTTAAGAAGGCAATGTCACTTCGTGATTGTGAGTTCATTGAGCATTTCAATAACTTTATGGCAATTAACAGAGCTGACCACCATGAGCCTAGACTTCCGCCAAGCAAAAGGTTAAAAATAGCAATAGTCAACATAGGTGCTCCAGCTGGTGGCATGAACGCTGCAGTATTCTCGATGGCAACATTTTGTATGTCTCAAGGCCATAAACCCTATGGTATATATAATGGGTTCACTGGATTAGCTAGGCATGAAAGTGTCAGAGCTTTGAAGTGGTTAGATATCTTAGGTTGGGAATCGAGAGGTGGCTCAGAAATGGGTACTAATCGTGCCACTCCGATTGATGCTGATATTGGAATGGTTGCATACTACTTCCAGAAATATAGCTTTGACGGGTTAATTCTTATCGGTGGATTTGAAGCTTTTACCTCACTTCATCAACTAGAAAGAGCAAGAGACAGCTATCCGGCATTTAGAATTCCAATGGTACTTGTGCCAGCAACTCTATCCAACAATGTCCCAGGCACTGAATATTCCCTTGGTGCTGATACATCATTAAATTCCCTGGTGCAATATTGTGATGTCATTAAACAATCAGCTTCATCTACTAGAGATAGGGTATTTGTTGTAGACGTTCAAGGTGGAAATTCAGGTTACTTGGCTACGTCTGCTGCATTAAGTACTGGTGCTCAAGCTTCTTATGTACCGGAAGAAGGCATGAGTTTAGCACAAATATCCAGTGATATCAATACCTTAAAGCAGTCATTTCAGAAAGCTCAAGGTACATCAAGATCAGGAAAGCTTATCTTAAAAACTACGAATGCCTCGGAAGCATTAAATGCCAAAAAGTTGGCAGATATACTCACAGTTGAAGCAGAAGGGAAATTTGATGCAAAATCAGCATTACCAGGTCATGTCCAACAAGGTGGTAACTCCTCGCCAATTGATCGAACTAGAGCAACAAGGCTAGCTATTAAGGCAACTGTGTTTATTGAAAATAATCAACAAAAGATTAAAAGCGGCAGAGACTCTAACGAGGAATTCGAATTAGATAATGAAGATTATATGGAAACTGCCTGTGTATTAGGCATAATGGGATCTCAAGTTGTTTTCACTCCCATACATCAGGCATTTGAGTATGAAACTGAAGTTGAAAGGAGAATGCCAAAAAGAATTCACTGGAGCGAAATAAGAGCAATTGCAGACCATTTGGTCGGGAGGAAACGTGTAGATGATTTATAAATTATACAAGAAAAGCATGTAGGCGTATTGTAAATGTATGTGTTCATTTTATTCTTGAAATCATAAGCGATAAAAATGAATCATGATCTATATTAGATATTATTCTAATTAAAGTTCGAAATTACACATGAAATGGTAAACTATAGACAGGTGATGAAATAGAATCATTAAAGTAATTGCTTTTAAGGACGTCGTGATTTTTTCCTGTTTCCTTGATCTTAAAATATGAATTTCGCAAAAAACATAATGATTAGGATTCTAAATATAACAAAATAATTTTAATAGCATTATAATAAAATATCGTATTCTTTTTTTTCATTTTAATATTCGATTAATGTTTAAAATCTTACAATTGAGGAGGAGCTTGTAATGGATTACCTTCGGCATCCAAACCTTGTTGCATCATCAATAATTCTTGACTACCGGCAGTTTCAAATTGCAAACCACAACCCAATTTACTTTCTTGTTTGAATTGATCAATTTCACCACAGAATAAGACGGACAAAGTTGGTAAGATTTTTCTTTCTAAGAAGCAGGCAACTTTACCATTTGAATCAATGGTACCACGGTAAACAGATTGTCTGTACTCATATTTGGCACCAATTGTTGTAGAACCTTCAATGGTTGGTTGGATACCAATTGGGGTACCCATGACAGGATCGGTTATTGGGATCATACCAGCTTGTAAAGTAGTCTCTATACCAGCTTCGACGTTTGCAGAAACTTTTCTCCAAAAGGAAGCGACCAAAGCACCATTAGCTTGCATTTGACCAGAGAAGATCCAATCTTTCTTTGGTGAAACATAACGAGTTAAATAAGAAACACCTGCATCAGCTGGAGAACCCTTTTGGGATCTAGAGTATAACACTTCCAAACCTAAAGCAAAATTTGGAGTGATATTTTGTAATAAAGAACCTACTGCAACACCATTGAATACTTCTTCAGAGAATAAATCAAATGAAGGGTTTAAAGTTTTAAAGTTGGCAGAGAAATCAGAACCTTTGAAATCTTGTTCCAATTGACACATAGAAGGTTGACCATTAGCAATTTGTACGTTAATCTTTGAAATGTTATTTTTGTTCCAACCATAATTTAATCTACCAGATAAAGAATAGTCAGAATCCAAATTACCTTGAACGAATAAATCATCATTAGCGAATAAAGCAGAGAATGCATAAGTTGGTAAAGTATTTGAACCGATGGAAAAAGTGTGAGAAGTTTGGAAAGCAGGATTCAAAGAAAAAGCTTTATTTAAATCAGCTCTTAAACCAGTGAAAAAATATTGATTCAAGAAAACATCTCTTGAGACTTCTTTATTTAAATCTTCAACAGTACCTGGATTGCTCAATGACAAAGATTGTCTATGAGAGTGGATTTGCTTATAGGTGTCGATGATAAAACTTGAAATTGGATTGGAAGACCAAAAAGATTGTCTTGATTGTTCAGTGGTCAAGGGAGAAACACCTGGAATAGTAGGAATTTTTGAAAAATCGTTCAAAGCCACGGGAGTAGACATGATAAATTATTTTGTTGTATTTTGTTTTTTGTTAGGCAAAAATCAATTATAACAATAATAAGCTATAATATAACTGTCCTAATCGATACCTGAGTGACACAATTGATCAATATAAACTTTATATCTTAATAATAAACGTAATCTTAACTTCAATTAAGTGTATTCATTAATACAATTTTTCACCAACTTTTTTTGACTTTAATTTGTTGAATGAAAAAATCCATATCCGCATATACGGATTGCGTATATTGTGATCTGATCTGATCTGATGTAATTAGTTACATGGCTGATGGTATGATGGGAGATGATGACGACGACAGAGACACACACTCTCTTTCTCTCTCTTTTATTATGATTTGATTTATGTCAATTGGTTAATGACCAGTTTGGCATTGGGTCGAACAGATTTTAATATTTAATATTGTATGTATTCTGATACATTTGTACTATCTACTTTAAATGGACTAGATATATAAGGTGATGTGGGTTGGGGGGAATGGAGAAAAGTAGAAGAGAACGTGAACAAAGAAATAAGATATGTTTAAATGAGGCATGACATTGTGTGTAGCTTTTGCTGACTCAGAACCCATGCTAACATACTAGCATAACGACAAATATAAGTAACCGATTTGTGTCTGTCAGTTTGTTAAAATGTAAAGAGGCAGCCTGCATTGCATTTCTATGTCGTGGGAGGGTATTGATTTTCTTTGCTCTTTCTATTGTCTTGTTCTCTAAAACTTTCTGTTGACAATCAAATTCTTGATCATATCTCTTCCGGTGAGGTAAACGGTTCTGTAAAGAGTGTATAGATCTAAGGTTGATGAAAAAGTGTCTAAGAAACCGAATGGCAACATGCATGGGATCCAACCTTGAGCTAACTCTAAGGCAAAGGCACCTTGAGACATAGCGTATTGCTTGGCATAACCTTTCTTCAAATGATGAGTCATACCTGGAGCGTAAACTTCTGGTAGTGTTGCATTTGGTAAAGCGGCATATTGGAAACCGTGTAAGATAGTGAAGTAATCATCGGCAAAATGAACACCGGTATGACCTTCATTACCAACAGCAGAACCAAATAGAATAACGTATTCAGTGACTGAAGCATGCAAGATGATCATTTGACCCATTGCACCACCTGCGTTGTTGAAAACCCATTCTTCTTCGATGTACTTGTTAATATATTCATCACCATAATGAGCAGCTAGACCATCTCTAACATCTCTCAATAAAGCTTCAGTGGAGAAGTCTGGGGAAGAACTGTTATGAGTAGCTAAAACAGTGTTACAAATTTCATTCAATGTTTTTGGATCAAAAATATAATTAGTTGGTAACCAAGTATAAAATACTGAATTCATCAAATAGCCTAAGATACCGAAAACGGTCAAAAAGAAAAGACACTTCATCTTTGCGCTGGATCTATGTCTTGGGGAACTTCGAATTAAGAAAGGGTTCTTGTCAATACAATTGAAACATTACCAAAACGACCCACAATAACCATCACCATCCAAATCAACCAGTTTATGGTTCATTTAAATACCAATAAAACCTTCTCTTCCCACAGCCAACTACTAATCTTGCACCAAACGATTTTGTCTTTTGGTACGAACTATTCTGATAAAAATTTATACATAATAAATAATGGTTAAACCTAGCAGCACCAGTACTTTATCCCAAAGTACTACTGTAACTAGTGCTTCCCATCATCAATTATAATCATCATTTGACTGGTATGTCGATTGATTCCCTCTTCCAATTATCTCTATCAGTATACTTCTCCAATAGAATACCAAATAAAAAAAAAATGTTTCACTTCGTATCGGTGACAGCTAGACAGAAACTACAGAACTCTCTCTCTCTGTTAATGGCTCACTAGGAGAAATGTACTTCGAAGAGCAAAACGAAAAATGAAAAATTTCTCTCGAAGCAGAAAAGTCTAAACGTGTAGTCTCAGTTTCTTCTCTACAAATATCTGGCTCTCTCGTGCCCTCTTGCCCTCTGCTTCGTATAGGGAGTCGTATTGATCTTTCTCGATTACGTTCAAAACCTGGACTTAACTTAACACTACCTATCTACTACATATCTACGTTAATAATTGATGGGGTCCTCTATCATGGCCCTGTGATTTATCGGTTACGATTTTGTCTTGACTTGAAGATGATGAAACTTTTGAGATAAATTTTCAGGACAGTATTTGGCACAAATGGGTTTATACTGTATGGATCATTGATCGAATCCGAAGGGAGTAAATTAGTTAGGTTGAGCCTGTTAATAGCGGATCTGTTTTTTAATTGAAATGTTGATGTAAAATAAAACTAAAAAAAAAAATAAAAAATAAAAGTAAAAAATAAAATCATTATGGGAATAAAGAAACATAATGAAGTTGGGGTTTCTTCTATCATAAAGTAGAAGAGAGCCCATAAAAAGACTAGTAATTTTGACACTGAAAAGAAAAAAATAAAAAACTTAGTCAACTTAATAATTGATGTCAAATTTAACAGGATAAATAACTATTCGGTTAGGGTTTATGTCCATGCTACATTGGAAATGGTATCTTTTTACACCATTGTGGGAGGTTAGTCAATTGTCTTGGCTCAATGGAATCACCCTGACCACCCGCGATTTTCAAGATATATTCGTTCAATTCTGCACATCCAAGTATATCGACATGTTCAGCACTCTTGGCGCCCCCACGTATATCAAATCTGTCAGGTTGGTGGTTTATTTCAACAATTTTGATCTCCATACCACTTGGATTATATGCAGATTGCCCTTGAGCCCACTTATGACACATGGCATGTGACATAAGCGGTACAGTACCATCACCATTTGACAACAATACAGGTTCAGCATCACTATAATCAATTGTGATATTTAAACTATTGCTAGAGTTGGTATTTTTAGATTCTTCTCTATACACATAGGCTCTCTCAGTAGGATTGTTAACACCATATATGCAGTACACCTTCATGTCCGGGGCATTAGGCAATGCGACCTGTAGTGGGTTAGTCCAATATTTATGGTCATTTGAATTCTCTTTTAATTCTTCTTCAGTTGTCGCGTAACCATAATCATACTCTGATGCGACTCTCTCTTGCAGCCAATCTGGAGACATTTGTAAAAGCAGATCGATTGATTCTTCAATGTCCATCTCTTCCTTGTATCTGCCTTTGGTATCTTGGTTAAATGAAATAAATTTACCAAATGTTTTATCGGTATGATTTCCTCTTATTTCATCATTATCCTCATATGAAAAAGTGCTATTCCCCCAAATTAAATTACCACCTTTAGGGAACATAGATGCAATACCGCCCCATGTTCGTAACATTTCCAATCTTTCTCTTCTGCTAAAGAACTTTTCTAAACCATACATTGCTATAGTGTTTAATTGAATGGTGTCTTTCATTTCACCACTTATCAATGCGGGCACTGCCTTAGGCGCACCTAATAGGGTTCCTGCAACGTTAACAAATGAATCGATATATTTATTGACCCAGTCTGAGCCACCGTTACCATAATGAGGACCTGAAGCTTCCACCCATTTTAGGAAATAAAATACAATTTGTGCACCCATTGAATGACCTATTAGAACAGATTTTCTATTTGTCAAGGCATAATTATTCTCTATCCTTTGCTTTAATTTTGTAAAATATTTATCTCTTTTCTCCAAATCTAAATAAGCTAATCTCCAATCGTAAGCTGCGGTAGACATTGTATCAGGTTCATAACCTATAGTTCCCAAGTTCTGTATAATCTTATTCCAGATCCAATAACCAGCAACGAAAAAATCGCTTGATTCGAAACCTTGAGCAGCTCTCAGTTTAAAGTTTGGCGGGTCAAGGCCTGTTACGGGATCTAGCATGACATGCTTCAACCAACAAACTTTATCCAGAACCATTACTCTCAGCATATAAAACGAACCCCATAATCTTTTCCTGAAATGAGGAGCACTATCACACTCTTCATCACCAATAACCCCCCAACTTTCAATACCAGTTGAAATCACACCAGGGACCATAACCACAGGATTATTAACGGTAATATTAAAGTCCTTTTTCAATTGTTTTCCCACAGCGAAATTTTGAGCCATATCTTTCATCGACCCGTTAAAAGTGTAGCCCTTTTGGACATCATTAATAAAAGAATTCAAACTTGAGGCAAGACATCTTTCCAATCATCGATATATTCGTTAACAAACTCAAAATTCACCATATTATCAAATAATTTCTTTATTATTATTATGTATATGAGTAGCACCTAGATAGAACGCATTTAAACACCCAAAAATGTACCCAAAGAAACTTAAACCGTTAGATTCCCTCAACGGTTACCCAAGGAACGGGTGAATCTGACATGCGTATCTCAACATTCTCACCTCATTTTCAATTCCCTTTCGCCTTAGTTCTGACTTCGTTAACACCGGAAAAAACCTCAAGTGATCTCTAGATCTGACTTTACACGCAACCTTTTCCTTTCTACTAAAACTTTATTTACCAGGCTAAGCAGGGAAAACCAATCTGACAATTATCCGAAAATAAACAAAAAACCCGAGGGATTCTATGCATTTTTGGGTTGCA